TCCGTTCGCATAGTTCTCGCTAGTTCACGATCACATGTTACCGCTCTGGAGGCTATTTGAATTATTAGCTTCCTGCTAAACTTTTCAAATTCGCCGAAAAAATTCACGCCAGTTTCTCCATGATCATCTATATCCATCTCTTCACGAAAGTCTAATTCTGACGGAGTTCTCAATAGCTGCTCGGAATTGGCTGGCGAGGCCATTGCTAACTGAAAGTGAATCTTCCTTATCTAGTCGATAAGAATCACCACAATTGTCTCCGACGACACGAATATCAATCAACTGAGAACTGAGAATACTGTGTCGTACGGTATGAACTGATTCGACTCTTGCTTCCTTGCTATCGACTAGGTATGTCGATATCGATTGCCTTGAGTGCCCTGTTATCGACCGTCAGCGACGGGATGCAGGTGGACTGGGTGTTGCGAAATTCCCGTCTCGCGTCTAGCTCCAGTAAATCTCCTCTGAAGGATAACCGAGCCCTTTTCCTTCTCCTGCTTCGAACCGTGCTGAATTCAGAACGGGATGCAGGGGGCTCTTCAGTTCTAAGTATCGACTCTGACAAAAAAACTTGTTCCTGTTTCGCCCTCTTCAAACCGTTCTGCTCTCAGCACGGGATGCAGGGATTCTCTGACCTGGAGCGATTCGGCCCCCATGCAAATATTTCGACCGGTGATGTACCGGGCTCTCCAGATCAAAACGGCAGAACAAGTCCCTTTATTAGAGACACAACGACGAACTAGGCACGCAACAAAAAAATATTATGAGACGGAAACAGACAAGAGATAAACAATACTTCTGAACACCTGTAAAGGAATGACAATTTCTGGAAAAAAAAGTACCGGCACGAGTAAAAGAAACACAATTTGCAATGCAACAAGAGAGTGAAGCCAAGACGGGGCGGAGGAATCCAAAAAAACACGAACCTACTCACAAAACAAACCAAAAGAGCAAAGAGCCCCTAGCCCTGGCCTTGCGGCCTTATATACCGCGCCCCTGGTGATGTGCAGGTCATGTCATGAGATCGCGCGGGAACGCAACATGTACGGTGGTCAAAAGAATTCAAAACACAATGGTATGGTGATATTTCAAAGGCACACTGGTATGGTGATAATATATTCGTCCTAAACAGGCGGCGGCCACGAATCTTTCCATTGCGAGTGACCCATCATCAGTATCTTCATCCTTTTCCATTTATCATTTGCACTTGCCACTTCTGAATGACACGGGAAGGTAGCTATATTTCCTTGGTGAAGGTTTTTGAATGTTCCTCTACAGTTTTACCATTTCTTGTCACTCTCCGAATTCTACATGTCCACCCCACCCACTTGTCACTCCAACGTGCGAGACACCGATGCCAACAAAAAGGGCTCTACAAAAGCTCTGAGGGCTCATTTCGATGAAGGACCCTGACCGATTGGTGGCCAAGCTACTTGAAGGATGCCAAGTGATGAAGGGGAACTGAAGGCGGACAAAACCTCTACTTGTCAAGAACGCGGACGAGTTATGTAGATGTACTTCCTGCTTCTGCTGCGTTGGGTCAATTCATACTTTTTGTCTTCTCGCAGGTGCGTGTGCGTTTGGTATCCTGCACATGAACACAGCCTAAAGGTTGCATCTGAGAGGCAGGAAAGCACTTGAGTGGCTATTCAGAGCTGCTTCTGATGAAAAGTCTCTTACAATACTGACTAGCTTCCCGCATTTTATCTAATCCATACTTCAGCGTCCGGCAAGCTACTCGCTGGCACTCAAATGAAAAAAATACAAATGAGCCTCACATCCGTAAACCTCAGCCTTGAGCACGGCAGCGGTGAGTAGGACACACAGCAGACACAGCTCTGTTTTTACGAATTGGGAAGATAGTGTCTGTATTCTTGAGGCGCTCAATATTAGCTCTAGAGGAACACTGCAGAACTCCACCTTTGGACACATGACGGATGAGGAGGGTGAAAGCTATCATGCCCGAGTTTATCATGTCGGTCCAGAAATCGCTGTTTCAAAAGCCCTTTCCTTAGAGTTGGATTTGGGAGTCAGCTGACAGACATTCCATAATGGAATTAGAACAAGTTCAATCTAAAGCTGTGGCTGACTGACGTCGCTAATGGCCAGAAATTCTACAGGGTCTGACCATAGTCTCCTACGAATGTCGTACCTGTTGCGATTGCGAGGACACCCGAGGAACTCGATGATCAACGGGCGATATATCACAATTCGTCTGGAGGCACCGGCACGGGATTATTAAGGAATGAGTCAATAAAGACCGTGAAGGGCCGTGAAATGTGCTCGTAGAGAAGCTTTCTCCACTCTAGGAGCCAATTATATTATCCTCTGGCACGGAAAAAATGGGCCGATGCACCAGGAGACTAGGGCGGCTGCTGATAAACTTGTATAAATAAGACAGAAGGTGGTTGAGTGGGATTCATATCCTAACGGAGGAAGAGGACTGGACGACACTTTTCCCGACGAAAACGTCGGAGTGGGGTAACATCTTCCTTTCGAGTTAGTCCGACTTCATCCGTAAGAGAGGTGTCGAATAGTCATAATTTGTATAAGAGGTCTTCTTCGACGACTCTTCAGATTTACAAAAGGTGGTGATTCTACTGCCAACGTTTACAAGCGAGAGCGTGGCGGCTGGTCATGCATTGCTCAAGCCAGCTACCCTCCAAAGAAAGTA